AATATTTATTAGTATCATGAGGCAGGGCTGTGTGGACTCTGGAATATCTCAGAAGGAGCCATTGTCTCTGGTAGCTCTGCTTGCTTTGTCTCACTGTACATGAGGCCCCTGTATGCTTCATTTTGTATATTTTACTTTAAAGTACAAACTGTCATGAAGTTAAAAGTTAGCTTTTCTATCAGCTCATTTCTTCTTAACCCAGTTAGAAGGCATTCACTTACTATTTTGATATGTTCCTCCACAATACAGAAAAGCAGGCTTTCTATTCCATTTCTGAATTTAATAGCCACAAAACTCATCTGTTGGCTTTACAGTAGAGAAAATAAAAGATTACACACATTTATGTTTTATTTATCAATTCCTACAAAGCTTATAAATTTTATTTTATCTTAGTCTTTCTAAAAATCACCCTTACTTTTTTGATTGGTGATTTTGATATAATATCTAACTCTAGAATAAGAGGATTTTAATTTTATTTCATTTTCTGGTAAGTCTTATTTTTATTTACTTTATAGTAATTTTATACTGTAATTTTTATTATATAACATAATTCATTATATAGTTTATTGAATATCACAGTGTATATCTATCATATATATTCATGTAACTTAGAGATACTTTGCATGTAGATTAACTCTAATAAATTGTTAGAAAATAGTATTTAAAATAATAATTTGAAAATTATCTGAACAGTGAGACAGTCTGTTTCAATGGATTAAGTGACATTTGAACAGCAAATTTTTTTTTTTTTTTTTTTTAACAAATTGTACTTCCCTTAGTCAAAGTTGGGTACTTTTCCTATACTCTCGGTAATTGGCCAGACTTCAAGATATGACCTTCTTGGGCAGTAAGAGTTTTTAAATGCATTGAAAATCGGCTGTATATGCTAGATTCTACAGAATATGTGGTAGAATTTGATCACACTAATTTAATCTTTCTTTCTTTCTTTCTTTCTTTCTTTCTTTCTTTCTTCTCTTTCTTTCTTTCTTTCTTTCTTTCTTTCTTTCTTTCTTTCTTTCTTTCTTTCTTTCTTTTTTTTTTTTTTTTGAGACAGTGTTTCTCTGAGTAACTTTGGCTCTCCTGGACTCTCTTTGTAGATGAGGCTGGCCTCCAATTCTACAGGCATGGGTACTGAGTCCCATTGGATCACACTGTTTTTTAAGAGAGAAGATTTTTCTGAATAAGGTGAACTCTACACGGCATGTTTTAATTTTTTACAAGGGCCTTTATTACTTCATTTACCTGACTCCATGTTTACCTGCTCGCTCTTCAGCATTTCTTCCTAATCATGCTGTGGCTCAGAATTTCTCATGATAGAAGAGCTACTGCTCTAATTGACTCAATCATACACAGAGCTGTGTTTTTCAGGAGAATATGGTTATACCTTTGTCAGTACATCGCTTGCCCCTTTCTCCAGGAACATTTTAGACTATTATAAATACTTTCATAGCCATCATCGGTACTTAGTCAGTTTTGACAAAACCTTAATTAGAACATCTTCACCATATGTAGGAATTAGAAGAAATTCCTTGCTTTAATAACTTTTAGAGGGCCTGGTTTTAGAGTTCCTGGAATGTTTCAGTTATTAATAAACTTGAATGCAACTTGGACAAATAATCACTGGCATATTTGCCTATTACCAGTAATTGAGCAGACAGTCTATAATTCCACAAATTCTCAATTCGATGTGCTCTACTAGTCTAATTAATTATATTAATGCTGTTCCTTTACATTGCTATCTTCTTTTTCTGATAACTTTTTGGCTTCCGGGAAAAAAATCTAAGTCAATTATTTAATCCATAAAGGCTATACTTGTGAATGGCTGCTTCATTGAACATGCTCATAAAGTAAATAATTTTAAATCTCTAAGAGAGATAGATCTATGAAATTTTGATTTAAAGAAAGTAGATATATGGATAATACTACTTGGTCAGTATGGATAGCAAACATTTTATAACATCATCTTATAACCAATAAAATAAGGGATTCAAATACTTATTATTTTGTATTAACTACAGCTAAAAAATTTTCTTGCTCTGGATTCAAATATAGTAATAACTTCAATAATAATATAATTATTAAAATAACATGAAGCACAAGTCTATACAAATTTAATACATTTCTCATAATACAAAATTATGAGTTTTGAATTTGTGGTAAAATATACGCTTGCAAAAAAATTCAAACTGATATACATTTAAAACTATTCTGAAATTATTCTTTAATTTTTGGCAAAAAATTTCATAATTTTTAATATATGACCCTCTAACATATGCCAGCATGATTAATAAAAGTTGAAATAAGCTAATTTCATTAAGTTAAGTGAAATGGGAAGTAGGTGGCACAAAAGGTGAAATGTGAATCCTCTTTCATGTTCCCATTTAACTCATAGATAATGCAATTAGAGCTTTGTCCTCAGTGTTTATTGAGACCATGCTCTCTCATTGAGAGCTTCCCGACTCTGTTCTCTTCATGCTTAAATGTTCAATTTCACTAATACCACTTTGGCATGAATAATAAAGTATACATATTTTACAGAATCCAAGCTCTAAGGAGGGACTGTGAAACAGTTGGTGTGTTTCTTAAAGCAGTTCCCTCCAAATTAATTTAAATTGGCTCTGGAATGAGCACTGAAAATTTGCTTAAGGACCATAAGAGAAAGGTAATTATAAACAGCAGAGCATCCGACTTGGGGGAGCTGTCTGGTGGGGTGCTTGGTGTGAATCCAAGTTTTCTCTAACAACTTTATTAATTATCTGGATGAAAAAATAAACAGCATGTTAATTAAATTTGCAGCTGATAATAATTGGGACATGTTGCCAACTTTTTGAATGCAAAAATAAAATCAGGAAGAATTTTTAAAAGAGAGAAAATAAATAATGAAAGAAAAAAAAAGAGAGAGAAAGGGGCTAGATGTAGCCCCAAACACAAGAAAATATGAATGAAATGGCAAGAGAGATGAATAGAGAAAGATGACTCCAAAGAATAAATCTAGGAAAAGAAGGCATTGGAAACAAGGCTTAAAGATTTACAAGGTAGTTAGTATTTTAACAAATAAATAAAGTAACCTTGAACATAACAGCAAGTGCACCCAGCCATCTGGAATAATTTCACATCTTAAATATATGCACCATCAAAAAATTTTGTATTTGAAAGAAGTATAGCACAAAAGACATATGAAGTCTTGCTGACTGAGACTTAAATATGATAAAATAAGAGAGTTTAGAGTGTTATTTATGCAACTGAGTCATGGTTATGCTCCTTTCTTATGAATTTCATTTCTACAACCTTATAATTGACCACTGCCTATCGTTAAAGGCAACATAAAATTAGATTTTTTTTTTTAAGACTAGAATTTATTTTCTTTTTAATTTTGTATCCTTTGGTAATTCCATACATTTATTTTTACAATGCATTTAGATCATATCCACCACACACACACCACTTCAACTCCTCACACACTTCCAGCATCTTTCTCCCAACTGCATCATGATACCACATCTTTCCCTGTCTCTTTTCAAGTCTCTATCCAGTCTCTGTCCCTGCTCCTCTCCCTTCCCCCTTCCCTCCTTCCATCCTTCTCTACTCCTCCTTCCCTTCCTCCCTCCATCCATTCTCCGCACCTCAGTCCAAGTCATCCTGCTTTTCTGCACATGGCTGATATGCATGTAGAATAAAGTATGGTAGTACACCATTGGCTACCCTGAAGAAAATGAACTGTCCTTCTCCATCAGCCATGCATGCACTGCAAAAGCTCCTCATCACATTTGGAGCTCATCAGGACCTCCACTACCCATGACGTAATGTCAAATGATTGACCTTATGTAGGTTGTGGGCAAGCAAACATAGCTGCAAAATCACGTATGCAACACTTTTCTTTCCTTACTCTCTATGACATATTGTTGTCCCAGTAGCAGTTTCTATACTGAAGCAAGATTTCTAAGACAATCTCAAGTGTCACAATGTGACAGTATCATTAAGAACATAGATAATATCTTAAGCATATTTTTAATTGCCAGTATCTAGAGTCACGTCCGATGCCTAGTAAATGCTCGTGTAAAGTTAACTGAGGCCATGCTACATAGTGATAGAGAAACCAGCTTTATAACCTAGTGGTTCTGATATGAAGTTGGATGTCATCTCTCTGAGTCTTACTGTTGTCATACCTAACCACAGAGAAGACAATACTGTATTCTGTATAGATTTAGACCATTTGCTTATGAAACTCTGTCTGGTCCAAAAACAATTAGTTCCTTCCCTTCTTTTTTGCCATGCATGGTTAAGAGTGTCTCAATGAAAAGAACCTGATGGTCCTGGGCAGTGCTGACACATGCCTTTGATCTAAGCATTCAAGAAGCAGAGGCAGAAGAAGCTCTGTGTTGAAGGCCAGTCTGGTCTACAAAGTGAGTTTCAAAACAGGAAGGACCACATAGGGAAAACTTGTCTCAAAAGAAATAAATAATAAGTATATAGATTAAATAAAAATAATAAAAATCTGTATATTTTTATTCTATCAAATAAATTCACTCAGTAAGTGATTTAAAATATATATGAGCATAAACATTTTTTTATTTTTTTTTATTTTTTACAATTTAATCACTTTGTATTCTAGTTGGAGCCCATTCCCAGATCTCCTCCTGGTTCCTCCCTCCCTTATTCCCTCTATCCCCTTTTCCTGTTCAACGGAAAGGGGGAGTTCTCCTTCCCTGCCATCTGCCCCTAGCTTATCAAGTCTCACCAGGACTGCCTGGATCCTGCTCTTTGATCACCTCCCTCCCCCCAGCATTCGGCCTTGCCAGGCCACAGAGGAAGAGAATCCAGGCAGAAAAGAAATGTTTTAAAGGGTAGATGGCTGATCTTGGTGAGTGACCTCTGCCTGGCAGAGGATTGAGTGGCTCAGGGAACTCCCCTAGTTGGTGTTTGACTCTCCGGATCATAATCCTGTCTTATATCCTCCCTATATGATAGGTTGGAGATTGTCCTGCACCTAAGGCAAGAAGATGGTGGCCACAAAAAAGATGAAAAACTCTCCGGAGTCGATCAACTCTAGGCTCCAAGTTGTTATGAGAAGTGGAAAGCATGTGGTGTGATACAAACAGACTGAAAGTGATCAGACAAGGCAAAGTGAAACTGGTTATCCTTGCCACCAACTGCACAGCTCTGAGGAAGCCTGAAATAGAATACTATGCCATGTTGGCTAAAACTGGTGTCCATCACTACAGTGGCAATAGTATTGAATTGGGCACAGCATGTGGAAAATACTACAGAATATGCACACTGGCTATCATTGACCCAGGTGATTTTGATATTATTAGAAGCATGCCAGAACAGACTGGTGAAAAGTAAACCAGGAAATTTTTCTTTTAATAAAACTTTCCAGAGCTCCTTTAAAAAAATAAAATAATAGATGCCTCTAAGAAAGCTAGGCTTAATTATACTGGATGACTAAAGTGGATGGATGAATAATATATATGTATATATATACATATACATCTCATATATATATACATATATATACATATGATATATACTATAAACAATACTGTATTCTTCAGCTTTGTCTTGTAATGTGCAGTTTTCTTTTGAAATTTTATACAAATCCTATTTTACATCATAAATGTGTGAAATGATTTATCTTGACTTCTCATAGTGATGATATGTGAAAAGATCTGGTGATTTATGTGTTTGGGAATTTAAAGACAATTACACAGAACACTCTCTGACCACTCCTTAAAAATACACAGTGCCATAAAATAGCTGCATACAAAGGATGTAATCCTGAACTTCTCAAGATGAAAAGTGAAAGTAGTTACAATAATCATCATTTTCAATTTTATGTAGTTAAGTGGTTTTACACACAAAAAATTAGCCTTCCAAATGACATAGCTATAATGTGTTAATGGTAGCAGAACATGTCATTACATTATGCAACATAATTTCATGGATATTATGTATGGCATTTTAGAAACTCATGTACTTACAGTTATTAGAAGATAGTGAATTTTTTCAAACCTTTATTCTTCTTAACCTTATTACTTAATGTAATCCTTGAGTGGTTTCTCTGACTTTGATAAAGGCCTCTTCATGGATTATATACTTTATTTTTTTTAACAGTTTAGCTTACTGCTTTCCAACTTCTTTATTATCATGTTTTCATGTCCCTTTTTAAACTGAACATTCGGATTATTCTCTTAAAAGGATCCAAAAGTCAAAAAGTAATTATGATCCGAAGGACCTGGCTTATAATGAAAAGAATTTCCCTTTAAATGTTGGTTATGCATGCAATAAATGTTAATAAATACAGACACATTTGGATAATTCTTGAATCCTCCTTAGTTCAAAATATTTACTTACTTCTAACTAATTTACTTTTTTGGATTCATTGAAATAATATAGCTAAATAATGTAGCATATTGTAGCTTTTCAAAACCTGGGAAAATCAATTATTATTCTAATTAATGATCCAATGTATCAGTTGGGCATTTTACAAAGAAAAACAAAAAAGCCATTCAGTGCATGAACTATGAGCTGAGATTATTACATACTCAGCTCAGCTCAGCCCCTCTTCTTGAAAGAAGTACCATCTGACAATAATAACATCAATGAAAACCAGCACACACTTTTCTAATGCAATAGGTTGGATCTCAGAGGATCTCCAGAGACCCATTTATTAAGGGCTTGATCACAGAGTGGCAGTATTGGGAACTGATGGAGCCTTTAAGAGGAGGGATCCAGTGAGAGGTGTGTAGGGGAAAGGTATACCGTGTAGAAGCTGTAAAGCCTCATCCCCCTCACCTGTCTTTTGTCTTCTGGCCATGAATTGAGAGCAGTACTGTTCTGCCATGAGATCTGTCTTGCAGCATCACTACAAGCCCAAAGCAATGCATCCTTTCCAAAGTGTGAGCCCAAATGGTCCTTTATCTTAATAAATTAAGCTTTACAAAGTATTTAGTATAGTAATGTATCATTAACCTGAATCCTTGTCAATGCACAAATTACTTCAAATAACATAGAAGCAAGTTTGGATATGTTGAAAAGGGACTTGAATGGCTTGTTGGGGAGGACAGGAAAATTCTTTAAGGTCTGAATTTAGACTAGTAAAAACTGAGTGACTGAGTATGGTTGGGAATGATCACAGAGCTAGAAGAACAATGATCTAGTTCCTCAAAAGCATGAAGAGTTATCAAGTGTTTCAAAGTCAAAATTTCTGCTATTGATAGGTACCAGATTCAGGAAAGAGTGAAAGCAATGGAGGAGAGGAACACTGGGATCACTCTGACGCTTGGCACAATATGTGCACCATTGTTTTTCTTGGAAGCTAGAAATGGTCAGTGATATTCTAAATGGAACAAATCATTTAAGAAACACAGTATTGTGGGATTTTTTATGCATCCTTAAAATTTTTAAAAAATTATTTATTTTTTATTAATTACAGTTTATTTACTTTGTATGCCAGCTGTAGCCCCCTTCCACATCCCCTCCCAATCCTACCCTCCCTTCCTCTTCTCCAGCCATGCCCCTCCCCTAGTCCACTGATAGAGGAGGTCCTTCTGTCCTTCCATCTGACTCTAGTCTATCAGGTCTTATCAGGACTGGCTGCATTGTCTTCCTCTGTGGCCTGGTAAGGCTGCCCCCCCCTCAGGGGGGGGTGATCAATGAGCCAGCCACTGAGTTCATGTCAGAGACAGTCCCTGTTCCCATTACTCAGGAACCCACTTGGAGACTGAGCTGCCATGGGCTGCATCTGTGCAGGGGTTCTAGGTTATCTCCATGCATGGACCTGGGTTGGAATATCAGTCTCAGAAAAGACCCCTGTGCCCAGACTTTTTGGTTCTGTTGCTCTTCTTGTGGAGCTCCTGTCCCCACTAAGTCTTTTTATTTCCTCCTTCTTTCATAAGATTCCCTGCACTCTGCCCAAAGTTTGGCTATGAGTCTCAGCCTCTGCTTTAATACCCTGCTGGGTAGAGTCTTTCAGAGACTCTCTGTGGTAGGCTCTTGTCCTGTTCCCTCCCTCTTCTGATGTCCATCCCATTTGCCTTTCTAAATGAGTATTGATCATCTTACCCAGTTTATAAGATTGTGGTAGAGTTTCAGGTTCTATTCCTAGGCCCCAGAGTTTACTCTCTAGCATTTACTGTCAATCATTATATTAATTGTACCAGATAAAGTAAAAGTGAAAGAGGTGGGAAGGACACAAGGAAAGTAAACTATCAGAGACCAGAATGTTTGGCATGGTAAATTAGAGAAAAAAGGGAAGGATTTGACATTCGCTCAATTCCTTGTTTCTGGAATCTTAAAATGCCAAAGATCATTTTCATCTGAGCAGTTTTGTGAATGCCACACACTGGACTCTGCACTATGGAGTGAAGAGGTAGCATAAGTTAGAAGACAACATTTTAAAAAATAAAGTTAACCAACTGGTATTTTAAGTTTGATTGCCCTTACATTATAAACTACATGGCTCTGCAGGGTACTCTGATTTAAGTATACACTAGTAAGTAAAATTGAACTGAAGATCTGTGGTTCTAAATGGACCTAAAGTCCAATGGTGTCTGCATACTTCTGAAGGTTCAACTATTTTTTTTTCAATGAAATGCTTTTTCTTTTTAACCCCTCCCCCATTTTTTGACCAGTTTTCTCTGTATTCTTCCTGTAACATGTTGATCATGTATATAATAAATCTTCTTTAAGTTTCCCTTTTCTGGTAAAACATTACCAAAAATAACACTGAGAGGAATATTTAAAACATTTAAATCATTGCACATTTTTCTTCAAAAATACCTTAAGATGTCAGCTCACCTGAGAAGCAATTAATTTGTTCTCACCATCTGTCCCATTCTTTCAACAAATGTTCATTTTAGAGTTCAAGTTTTATGATGTGTTTTGTGAACAAAGATGCTACTCTTGTAGCATCCACTTGTAATGAAGGTATAAATCACATGGGTCGGCTAAGAAGGCATGCAGACAAGAGAAAGAGATTATCTCAAGTCCAAGAACATCCAATTTATTTTGACTAGGTCTCCTTTCAATCTATTTAATATTAGGAGTTGAAACAGGTAATCCTCAATGAAGCATCTACCTAATTACAGATAAAGATGGGTCATCTTTTTACACATATGAAAAACAGACTGATAAATTTGGATTTGTGGGAGGTCTTGTTGTGCATACTTGGTAGTTGGTTTCAAGCACATGGCTTCTGCTAATTCTGTTGCCTCAGGTCCCAAGTTGCTGGCACTATGCTAGTGTACCCAATGAAACTATACTAGAATCAGTAGATTATACTGCCCTTTACTCTTCTTTCTTTTTTTCTTCTTGTGTTTAGAATTAGATTGTCTACCCCATCCAGGCATGATCATTTGAAAACTTGCCATAGATGATCTGTTTACTACCTTTCGGCCACTCTTAGCCTCCTCCTCTATGTTCACAGCTGATTGCATGATTTCTGTTTCTCCTGTTTATTTATTGCTTAATCTGACCAGTTAGGGAAATCTGGTTTAGGAAAAACAAAACAAAACAAAACAAAATAACACATCTCTCAGAAGCCTTGTGAAATAAGGTTTGCTCCTGTTAAAGGAATGGACATTAGTATAACAGTTTTACATATGTCACTCTGTTCCAACTTTTGAATAAAACTGCATGTGGGTTGCAGTTTTAGCAACTATATGTGATAAAAATTTAACAGGTATAAATCATCCTAAGATATTAAAGTGAACATATGCATTATTCTGAGTTCCTGTTAATGCCATATATCCTATGAACTCAGGTTGGTGAAGTCTGACTATGGACCTGTCACTCAACCAGTTACAAATGCTAAGGACAACTTAAGTGAAGCAGTGCCTGTCAAAAACCTTGCAATTCAAAGTATGGTCACAGTTAACATCATGGACCCAAGCCTAGACAACCATAACTCCAAAAAAGTATATAAGGGTTCCCATTAAGTTTTAAACCAGTAAGTTAAGTTCTTGTGGGTTGAGCTAGCCATTTCTTGCAGTAGAATGAAGTGTACTTTCATAATACTGCAAAACTGCTCAAGGTCTTTGGCACTGTTTCTTATGCGGTATCCTGGCCCAAGAATGATTCCCTTGCCTCTCCTTACTTATGTCTCAGTGTTTTACAGCGGAAATTATTATTATTATTATTTATTAACCCTTTCTTTCTGCTACTCGTTTTTGCTCTTTACCACAGGGAAAACATTCAATATATTCTTTTTTTAATTTTTTTTATTTACTTATTTTGCATTCACGCAATTACCTTCTCTTTTCTACCTCCCTCTTGCTAAACATCATGCATGTCCCACTCCCTCCAGTTTTCATGTTAATTTGTGTGTGACCTAATGTCATTCTATT